CAGACACCAATGATGACATGAGCCTAGCAACTCAGTCACTAGGTGGGTACATGGAATGTACTGAAGCAATGCACAGGTGGGGTATTCATTGCGTGTTTTGTCTTTTGTGACACTCTAAAACATTCTGATGACAAACTTGTGAATCTGACAAGCAGCAGATAAAACTTGGAATTTCTCTTGGACAATTGTGACGGTTCTACTGTGTGTGGTTAGGATATTTTGTGAAGGCTATGTACAGCAATTTGTATTGCTGTGTCTGTGTCCGCACTATCCTGCCTTTGTGCTGTGAATAAATTAAGGTTTACAGGGACCCCATTAAGGAGGATCTGGCTGCCTAACAACTGACTGCCTGTGGTTTCTTCCCCTGTCACCTTGCTGTTTCCTAGCCCAACACACAGTCTAGGAAAGTGAATGTATACGTACATTACAGGATTTTTTTATCAACAAATGCTCAACTGGATTTACAGTTTTCCCTTATTGCCCAGGAAACACAGTCCATTTCAGGACTCTGTTCACTTGGCAGGATGTTTGTAGGGCCTGTCACATTTTCCCTCAAGGCCCAATGCAGAGTACATTAATTGGTTCCTGTAAATGAAATCTACTGCTAAAATCATCAAAATTTCCCAAATGTAAGAAATTCAAAGAAAAATGCTTTCAAACTCCTATAGTTTCTTCTAAAGATCTTTCTATTTAAATCAGCTTTTTCCTCTCTATCCTGAATAACATATAGAAACTGTATTACTTGTACTTCATGCATGTGTGACATCTGTGAGCAAAGCAGGAGTCACTCCTCCTGCTTGACTTTCCGTAGGTGTCACTTTTGCATGAGGTACGAGCACACGACTCTGGAGAACGTAAGGTGTTAAAAAGTTCCCTTCCGATCGTTTGCAAGGGATCCGCCCAGTCACAAGAGATCCGCTGATTAAAAAAAAGTCGACCCACAACCAATCCGTCTAACAAGTAATAACATAGGCAAGGTACCACAAATGTAGGATTGTACAGGGATGATAAATCAATCGGTTTGAGGCGCATACAATTTTAGAAAGCAAAAGCAATGATAGAATAAAATCTCAAATTTTTGGGCATGATCAGGGGAACCAGTGAAATAGCCTGCATACCCACTGTTGCAGGTGGCGCAGGTGATCATAAGCTGGGATATTGATCCATCACCATCAGGAACAGGGTCACAAGCCATGGCAGCGCTGTGCCAGTCGCAGTAGTGGGGAGGAATCGTCCAGGGTACATGAAAAGGTGTTTTGATATTACCTGTGTTATATTTGGTTATTTTTTGCCATATATCGAAAAATTCGAATCTGAAATTCAAAAAAGCACTGGCGGAGCATCAGTGGACTGATGAGGTAATCATGAACACAATTCGAGCAAAATGCTTGGTAGTAGGTGAGTCTGATTCTTGGCTTTCTGACATTTTGATGTACTNATTCCAATCTGAAATTCAAAAAAGCACTGGCGGAGCATCAGTGGACTGATGAGGTAATCATGAACACAATTCGAGCAAAATGCTTGGTAGTAGGTGAGTCTGATTCTTGGCTTTCTGACATTTTGATGTACTGTACTCCTTTTTGGATTTCAAGGATTAAATTTTAATTTTCTGTAGGGCCACCCGCAGCCGGAAAATCCTCTCTTCTGACCCGCGTAATGAAGTCTGCGGAAGAATTCCCGAAAAATTATCAGATGGTGAGATTTCAGAGGTGAATGTTACAAAGAGGGGTTAATATTTTTGTTTTCCTCCTCAAGACACCTGGAATTGAGATCAGCACAAAAATAATTCAGATTCCAGACACCGACGACCGCGTGGAATTCATCTTTTTTGATCTGTCAGGACATTCTTTTTACTCAAAGCTGGTTCACCGGGTGGTGAGTATTCATGATGAAAATAATTATTATACATCAATACAGTTTTTTGCTGTGTAACATTTATAGCCGCTTTAATGTTCACTTGCTTACCTTGTTCCGTTCTTTTGTTTCCTAAAATTTCTTCAGAAATGATACAAAATTGACTTAAGCATGATTCATGGGCTACTCAAAGTAAAACCTATGTATTTTTCAATGAGTTATGAAAATGTAATCAATAAATTTGTGTCAAATAATTTGTGTAATTTTTTTACGGTATTATGCAAGAAAAATTGATCCTAATTTAATCTTTAAATATCACATGCACCTGCGTGACGATTGATGAGTGAGTGTTTCTTGGGGTTTTGCCAGACAATATACTTTTGTGATTTCTGCCTGGCATGTGGGAAATGAGGAGAACTTTAAATGACAATTGATGACCTGTGAAATATGGGAGATGCATGGGATATGTGTGGTCATGTTGAGGGAAATAAATCAATTCCAGTTTATTCTCTTTTGGGATTCACGTTGGGCTTTGACTTTGAAATTAATGAAATTATTTTTTGCGGTCATATTTCTGACGTTTGTTCATGAAATTGTTTCAGTATTTCCTTCTTAGTATTTTCTGCTGCTTCAATTTCCCAAAATATGAATGCTATACAGTCCTGGTGCAGAAAATTAATGAAAATAAATTCTTGGTTACAGATATGAGGTGATGCTGATTATAGATATCCGATGGTGAGCAAATTGTCCTCTTGCATTTCAGGCAATCCAGCCGTCATTGTTCATTGCTGTTTACGACGTAACAGAGGAAAATGCCCTCACTGCAGTCAGTGATTGGATTGAATTTGTCAAAAAGATGGGTGGTGATGTGTCTGTACCAGGGGTTCTCATTGCAAATAAAACTGATCTGCAAGATCTTCGGGTGATCAGCCCAAAAGTAAGCTGGTTCACCGGGTGGTGAGTATTCATGATGAAAATAATTATTATACATCAATACAGTTTTTTGCTGTGTAACATTTATAGCCGCTTTAATGTTCACTTGCTTACCTTGTTCCGTTCTTTTGTTCCCTAAAATTTATTCAGAAATGATACAAAATTGACTTAAGCATGATTCATGGGCTACTCAAAGTAAAACCTATGTATTTTTCAATGAGTTATAAAAATGTAATCAATAAATTTGTGTCAAATGAAAATGAGATACGGTATTATGGAAGAAAAATTGATCCTAATATAATCTTTAATATAATCTAAATATCACATGCACCTGTGTGACAATTGTGGAGTGAGTGTTTCTTGGGGTTTTGCCGGATAATATATTTTTGTGATTTCTGCCTGGCGTGTGTGAAATGAGGAGAACTTTAAATGACAATTAATGACCTGTGAAATTATATGGGAGATGCATGTGTGGTCATCTTGAGGAAACTAAATTAATTCCAATTTATTCTCTTTTGGGATTCATGTTGGGCTTTGAATTTGAAATTAATGAAATTATTCTTCGTGGTCATATTTCTGATATTTGTTCATAAAATTATTTCAGAATATTTCCTTCTTAGTATTTTCTGCTGCTTCAATTGCCTAGAATATGAATGCTATACAGTCCTGGTGCAGAAAATTAATGGAAATAAATTCTTGGTTACAGATATAAGATGATGCTGATTATAGATATCCGATGGTGAGCAAATTGTCCTCTTGCATTTCAGGCAATCCAGCCGTCATTGTTCATTGCTGTTTACGACGTAACAGAGGACTTACGGGAGTGACGTCAGTCACTAACCTAACTTAAACAGTTTTTCTACCCACCACTACACAGACATGGTCCCCAAGAGTAACGTTTATTTTGACTAGACGTTCTAGAAGCCCACTAGTCGGGTTTTCCTGGAATGGAATTGGCCAACAGTCACGGGATACAATACCTGGAGGCCTCAGTGGTATGTAATTCTTGATCAAAGGATTAAGAAGATTAATTAAACCATAATTGCATTTTCCAGAAAGATGGCAAGGGACTGGAGGAGCCATTTTTCTACCTGGCAAATGAATGGTACAAGCTTTACCTTGAGAAGGCTGACGGCTTCAGAACTTACATGGTTAATTCATGATTCTGCGAGGCAAAACGAAAAGCACTGATTGCGTTGTTTGATTTTTATTCATGATGGATTTGAAATAAATGTATGCTATGAAGAGTTCCGGGTAAACTTTCTCCATCATGCGGTATATGGCAGTAAAGTTGTCTCTACAATCCCTAATAAGTGGAAAAGTACAGCAAACTTCGAAATTGTGAAAAAAGTTTTTTGAATTTGATGATTACGGTTATTCAGAAAAGAAGATGGGAAGACAGTCGGTTTATTCTAATATCCACTGCAATATTTAATTTCAACGAAGATTATTTAATTCTTCATCATCATTGAAGTACACTGATAACTTTATTCAACATATGAATATTTGTTGTATGAAGAATATTTCTGTAGAGGAAATCGACCCAGGGAAAAGTATTTGCATTTATTCAATAAAATATGCAAATTTCAACATTTCATTGCGATTGCTGAACTGCTGATACAAGTGAACTTTCCCCAACAACGACCTTGTCTAAACCGATTTTCTCTGCATAACGATGTTTTTGCATAGGGTTCTGCCCCCATTGTAAAGCGGTTCTCTGCAACGAAATTTTCTCTACAACTACTTTTTCTGGTCCTTTTAATTTCGTCGTGGAGTGAGTCCCTGTGAAGTGCACTGGAATTTAAGGAGATTAAAGGCTTTAAGGGACCTCTACTTAGACGCTTAACTTTGTTAAGCGTTTATAAGATGAACAATAAAAAAACTCTCTAAGAAAAATCGACTAAAAAATTTAAATAACGTTGTAAAATATGTAAATATTTTGAAATTGACTTCATTTGCGAATTGATTGTGGAATATTTTTAGCGTATCCTAAAACGCGATTTTTTCTGACATCTATTGTTTTATTCTTACAACCCCTTGCATGATTTCAATGCTCCAACTCATAGATGTCGCTCACAAAAGGTATGCCCAAATTGTGGCAGTAAATACAGTCATGGACGACACTTCAGAAAGCCACGACAAAATTAATTTTAAAACCAAAAAATTTCAGCAGCTGGATTTCAAAATTCATATAAGTGTATTTGTTTGTATGGACGTTACTCGGAGTTAACTTGTTCCGACAAAAGGAGGGTACCCGCAATCGATCACGTTTCATTCGTATTGAGCTCAGAAGTTTTCTATTGGCTGGACGCTAATCTATATCATGAGTGGGAGTTGATCTGAATGTGACATTCTTCCGGAACACGAGGTACTACCTGATCAGACGACGTGGGAATTCGGAAGTAAATTAGAGTTAAGTTAAAATACAGCAGTATCATGGGTGTTTAAAACAAGGTTTACGTGATCGAACGAAACGATGCGCTTAACGCGACAATTAATCGCAGACCGCTGAGAATTTCCTGGCTTAAATCACGTTGATTTTTATTTTATTTTATAAGAATGCGTGAATGTGACAGTGGGAATGCTGTGCTATTGAATTGTGACGTGGAATATAGTGAAAAATACGCTTTGATTACAATAAGTACAGTGCTGTCCATTATACGTATGTTCTAGTGGTATTTTGTGCAAATGATCAGCAACAGTGTACAGTACAATACAGTAATGCACACTGCAGGCACAGGGTTTGATGAATCTAAATTTGATTTTGCTTCAATATACTGATTGATATTCCAATTTCAACAAACTCACGACTCGCCGGATCGCAAACTTTAGACGACGTGGTTTTATTCTCACGTCTTCAAGATTTGTCTTTCGCTTCACACCTCAGGCATTGGATTTGTGCTCCTACGATTGTCTGTCGTTTTGTACCCAGAGACTCTCTTAAAGTTTAAAAAAATATACGCGATCGTAGAGCATTATACGCGTCCGAAGTCTGAAATTAACAACTGAGACTTGCATTAAAATATACTGAAATTCTTCAAAAAGTATCGTACATTCAACAGCAGTGGATATTAACATTTTAGAATTGCGCCAAGAATGGCAGATTTTGCGAATGCTCTAACTCGTCACATTTTTCACGTATATACGTTATACGTTAAACAAAACCATAGTACTTTTGTTGAACAAAACCATGTTTGATTTTTTGTGCGTTTTTCTGAGTTTTTTTTATATTTCGGGGTATATCTTTATGTCGTTCACTATGAGCAGATTAGCGGGGAAAGAGCAAAAGTGATTATTTTTCGTAAGTGTTTTTGGGGACTCCGGAACTACAAGCCTTGATAGTAGGAAGAAGCGGTGGTTGCGCATAACGTGCCACGAAAATTCCCCTTGATACAAGAACCCAAAAAAATATCCAATGCTATGAACGCAATGTTGCACTGGATAGGCTCCTTTAGGCCTTTTGCCGCTTTTCCCTCCATAAATGGATTTTTTTTTCAGTTTCCGGGATTGGTTCTAAAGATTAGAAAATGAGGATATATGAGAGGAATGTGATCACAGAAATGTTTTTTTTTCTCTTGGGTGCTAATAGTTCTTCTGATGAGTAATTTTTGAGGAATGCGATATCATCTTTTCCTGGTTGGTGCGTTTCATGGCAAACTTGACTGGAGTCCCGAGCGAAGCATGTTATTCAACGATGTCGACTTTCCGTCCAAGGGTTGTCGGGTTGTCGAAAGAGCTGGGTCGTGAAACATAAATCGCATTCCCGTCAGCGATTCGCCCTCGAAATTCTCCGTCGAAATGCCAGCGTTCTGATACGGGTGCGAACTTGGTCGATGCAAGGTTGTTCGCGCGTGCGCGACTCTGATCTACCGAATTCTTTCATAAGTTAGGTCAATCATTGTGACGAAAACAATGCGATTCGTCAGCATATTTTCTGCCATAGTACGGTAACGTTCTCAAAGAGGGGAATCATTTGCACCACACACCATATTATTGACATCATTTTTCCTGTGAATTTGCGCTTGATGGGTCTAACCAGACGGGGGAACAATTTATTATTCCGGTCCCATGCGATCCATTCCCGAGAAAATTATGCTAAGCTGGCATTTTTTTTTTTTGCATTCAAGTTCAGGCTGAAAGAGATAGATGATTTGAAGATGCAGAAAGAAAAATTCTCACCTACTTTCATTTACTGAATTTTCAAATTAAAAAATTCTATGATGCCTTTTTTTTTCGAGAAAAAAATTTAAAATTGAAAATTTCATGACGATAATCATGCATCGCATGGCAAGCTTCATGCATTGCGAATCATTTTTGGAAAATGGTTACCGTATATATTTCTTGTAGGTTTTTGCGGGGAATCTTTTTTTTTCTACAACAAACTCATTCCCTTTCTGATGAAGTTTTTGTGGGCAGAAAGTCTTTTAATGCAGAGCATTTTTCATAACTTCCCTCAAAAATCTATGGAGAAAAATTAATTTCTCAAGAAAAGCAGAAATTGTTCGTGACTTCTCTTCAACTTGAGAAAACGAAGCGTAAGAGAGATATCTGCCGAAATCTTTCCATCTTTGTATTCATCCATTTTTAGTAGGATTCAAAAACATCGACGCACAAGCAGAAGATTTATCCGCTTAGAAAACACATCAAAAGTTCAGCGTGAACCGAAAAACTACAGAAAACCAACTCGAAAAGCACGAAAGCATGCCTCGAAACCATGTTCCTTAATACGTTTCCTCACTGTAAGTTGCATCTTGAAAGTTTTGATTTGAAAAGTTGGAATCTCTTTTGCTTTTTCAGGAGGGATGATAATCCCAAAATAAGTTCTACACGAAAAAAACGTTATTATGTTTGTCTTCTTTTCATCGCCCGAAGCATTTTTCAGAAAATTGTATTTTAATTAATGATCTTTTCTTATACCAGGACACACTTTGTCATCCAACTAACTGCTATTGAATTTCCGACGAGTATGTGGGATTCTAGCAACAATTTTTCCAACAAAATCTGTCCTCGGCCAGTATTATGAACAGCATTTTGTTTAATCTTCAAATCTTTCGAGATCGAACGATCGGTTTGATTTTAAAACTTTCCTTTTAATTTTAATTTATTTTCCCGTTAGGGAATTTAAAAAATGCTCAAGTCATTGGAAGACCGTTTGAAGACATTTATGAAGTAACAACGGACTATGAGTGTAAATTAAAACCCAGTGACACCAGAATTGTGATTTTATTTTTGAAATATTTGGGGGGGGGGGGGTGTATTGCATGCATTCAGATCGACTCACGGAGGATTGATGTCATATTTTGACCCATCCTAGACAAAAGAGAAAAATCAGCTCTAATCCACTCACTTTTTTAATGACCCTGATAGTACACATCCAAAATTTATTCTATTGACGCTACGCGTCAGCGTGAAGAAAAGATTCGCATCCAATCCATCTGACTTATTGTCTCATATTGACTGTATATGACCAGATTCGGATTCTTCTAGGGTTTTCACAAAATTTGAAAACAAATTCAAATTCAATTTTCTGGTTTTTGTTGTCACAAAATTCGAAACAAAAACCAGAAGGGAGTTGGAAAATTATATTTGTCATACGAAGAAAAATTCCCGATTTCCGAAGATAGTTATCGAAAGAGGGAATAGAAAGCTTTTGAGTCTCCGATGGTTTCAAGCTTAAGAGGTTAACTTCATTCCTCCCTGAGTGAAAGTTACTGACTAAACTTAATGTGCAGTTTTATTCCGAACAAATGTCTCACTTAGCTGAGTGACGCATGTAAATTTATGGACGTCCTTTTTCACCGAAATACAGAGCCACGAGGAAACTCCAACTCTGAACGGGAGGATATTTCAAAGCAAAATACGCTCTAGTACATCTGCTTACAAGGCTTAGACTTCGAAGGAAAAAAAATAGAACATTAGTCCCAATGAATTGTTGATCTACCTGTAGCCTAAAATACAGCTGCCTTCGATTCATTTGTGAAAAACCTAGCCACCATTGGTTGTCACGTTAGGGACTTGAAGAATAAGCGCCGCGGTTTTTCCTGACGAAGTCTAATACAGTATTAAATTAATGCCTTCTGCATTCTGACGCATCAACAATTCAAAAATACTCGAACGATTCAGTCTTATTTTCTGTCGTTCTTCTCTCCAGAAAAGTTCCCCTAATAATAACTCTTGCGGATATAGAAGCGACAGAACGTTTGAAGAACTTGAGGACTGCCCATTGAGAGAAGTGCTTAGACCGACT